ACTACTTTTTCCTCACTGGCCTTATCAATATAGACACATTGACCTGCTCCTTTCTGGGGGTGCACCGCTCTTATGTGCTGACACTTGTGTGGAAGGGAGGTTTCGGTCAGGAGCCCGGTGGCAGCGGCGGCGGCGGCTCTGAGTGACGGATTGTGACCTGAGAGCACAGCGAGGACCCTCTCACGTTTCTTCCCGGTGAACTCCAGGTGCAGGCGGCCTGTGCAGCTGCTACCACTACAGGAACACGTGCGAGGGGACGGGGAGGAGAGTCGACATCTTGTTCTTTCTTTTTCTTTCGCTCCTTTTTTTTTTCAATTCAGTCCAGTCCTTGTTTGGAACGTGAGCTGAGACCTTTAGTACAATTTCCTGATGGTGAACTTTTTTGCAGTGGTCGCCTCCTCTCTCCTATTACCTCCCAGCTGATCCCTTTCTCCTTTTGGGCGGGGCGGGCGAGGGGGCTTCGGGGGACGCCGGGGGTGTCGGGAGAGGAGATTGCGGGGAGGGTCATATCATTGGCTTTAACAGGTGTAAACATGCTGTTCATTGCTTGTTAATATTAGGGACGGGTCTGAGAAACGCCAAGGCCCTGTTGACGTTCAGGACGTCCTGGGGGGCGGGGTGGGGGTGATTTGCCAGACGGATGGCACTGAAACAAGTGACACTTTCTCACTGTTTTTATATTAACCATGTCTGTGTTTGTTGAAACAGTTTTTGGATATTAAGCACTTAGTCGTCAGTCTGTTCACGATGGCATTTTTAAGGATCTGCGTTTCCTGGGAGGGGGCGGGGGGTTGAGGGCATGTGAAATAAATACAGACAGCACCGCGGAGGTATAGTTTTTATCTGTTCTGGTCTCGCCGCCGATATTCTTTCCCACACTCACGGCGACAATCACATTTCAGTGAACGACGACTACGGCCGCTGCGAGCAGGCGCAGACCGAAACCTCAAAGCTGCTTCAGCTCCTCAGCATCACTCGGAGTTCGCTCGCGTCGGAGGGGTGACAACAACAACAACAACAACAACAAAACAAAACAAAAAGCCATCTTTCTACGACCCCCTTACCCACCCTTGGTCCCCGACGGCGGGCTCAGCCTCAGCCGGCGACCGCTAGAACCCCGTCTAGGAGCTGTTGACCTTTCACTGCGTTAGAGGAGGAGACCTCATCCAGGCAGATTTTGTACAGTTATGAGATATTCCTAGTGTTAAGTGCCATTTATTTTACATATACAGTACTGAAGTTACCAAGTGACGCACAATTTCTTTCTTTTAGCACCCCCCCCCTCCCCCAACACCTCCCCCAATGACAGGGTTTAAACTGTCCACGCAGGGAAATCTGAAAACAAACAAAAAAAAGCAAATGAAAACGTCCTCTTTTTTTAAAAAACTAAAACAGTTCAGTGTGCATTTTTCTTTTCTTCAGAATCCATCACAGCCTTAGTTTTTTAACTGTCCAGACCACCAAACCAGACCCCCCCCTCCGTCGGGCCCGCGTCAGAACTCCGCTACGAGACCTCCGACATACTTCAAGTGTACTTCATTGCACCCCCCCTTCCCTCTGTGTTTTGTAGCGGTTGGAGGAGGTGGAGGGGAACGGCGTTCACAAGCACTCTGCTAGTTTTATGTAACATTAGTTGACATGTTCTCTCGTTCTCCTGCAGTATTTCTAAAGGTCACCCGTCTTTCCAACTCGTGGCTTCGTGCAACCGGGGGACGGATTCTGTCCTCCCAGACGTGGTGAGCCTCGTTTAGTTGGGGAGGGGTACCTCTCTCCGGTCTCTGGTTCGTTCTGTCACTGCGGACTCTCACACAACACGACTGTTATAGGACTACCTCCTCTCCCTCCTCCGGGTCATCGAGCACGCCACGGCCCCGCAGAAAGCTCAGCCATGTTTGTAGAACGACTGACGGAAGGGGTTTGTAATGTCATCGAGGGGGGGAGGGCGAGGACGTATCATTTATCCGCTGATGAAATCGAACGAATGTGACGGTAAACAGACTAAGCCATATCCAGCTGTTCCCTAAAACCGATGACCGACTAATGTTTTTAAAAGTATACTGAAAATGAATTTTAACATGCATCCTTCTTTCTTTTTTTTTGTTTATCGTTTTCAATCATGTCACAAAATCAAAAATAGTCGTTCAGATAAGTTGATCGCTGATGTGTTCACTGTCCGGGGGGGTGGCAGCGGGCGGGGCAGGGCGGGGCGGGATCGACATAAACAGTACATTGTTCAACCATTTTGTGCATAATGATTTTTTTTTTTTATTATAACCCACTGTATAATAGCAAGGATTGTATATAAAACTGAAGAGATGTAAATATTTATGTGGCTTGCTTCAAGGTTGGTATTACGAGAAAAAAAAAAAGAAAAAAAAGAAATATTCACATGGTTTAAATTCTACATGCCCACCAGCAAGCTTTGTGGATAGCAGTGTAAAGATGAAAAACAAAAAGAGACACTGCCTTAATGTTTAAATAAAAAGCTTATTGCCATTCATGGTCTCAGAGTCCGCTTATTTTAGTGTTTGTGTGTGTGTGCATTAAGTAATGAAGGTCGAGCACCAGCAGGGGGCAGTATATGCATATTTTTAAAGGGGATGAAAACAATCCTGGAGGAGATTCTTCATGGCTGCATGTAATAATTTTACATAAATTGAACAAAATAAGATTATATCAGAGTGTCTTAAAGTCTAAAATCAAAAAATATGAATGTTAGCCTTCTAAAATGTCTCGAATATGATGGAGGCTGTTTTTCCAGTCATGGAAGCACCTGGAAATTGATTAAAATAACTAAAATATCCTGGAAATGTTTGTATTTTAGCCCCTCACTCAGATCGCCTATGTACACATATGTGTGTTTTTTGTTTAAAACTGTTAGTAGGATTAAAAAAAAAAGGTTTACTGGATGCAAAGTGGAAAAATATTGCCACACAAAAGCTGTGATTGTTGCTGTTGATAAATTCATGCACAGTGATGTTAAATTAATGATTTAACTTTCTATCAGATGAATTTTCTGTAAAATTTAATAAATTCAACTTGATTTGAACTGTGATGAGCTAAACTAATGTCAATTTCCCCAAAGCGCAGTTTATATTTGTGAGCCAGAGATGTCCTGGATTGTCAAATTATTCTCCAGGACCTTTCCAGGAGTTTTTTTATTTTTCTCTTGTACCATGTTTGTTGTCATGCAACCTTGTACATGGAACTCTACTTGGCAATCAACCTGATTCTGAATGTGTTTTGGGGAAATATTAGTATTGATCATGCTGGATTAACTCCAAAACTAACAAGAGATGGAGCCAATACTGATTTCCCTTCATATGTTTCATGTTTTTACCCCATTTTGGACATAAAATAGGTGTTAAATTGCCTTTTATAATGAATAAAAATCCTTAAATTGAACCTGCAGAAATAGAATAGACCACCCGTGTTAATGCTGCTGTTACTCCGCAGTGGCTGTTGTATAAATGTGCTGCTCAGCTGCCACTTGAGCTGTGATCTCCTGTACCGTCGCTCAGCTCGTACGAAGGTCAAACTGTCTGTTATGATCCTGCCCTTACGTAACTCGTTACGTAATTAAAACTGGAATTAGTCTCAATTTACAACATAAAACAAAGTTCTTATATAAGTAATGATGTGGAAGCTGCTTGGACTCGTCGTTTGCTGTCTTTGGGCAGAATCGTGCTGAATGGAGGCGGTTAAACGGTTTCGTGTAAACTGAACTCGCCGATCGGTTGATTTTGGGCGAGTAAAACCGTCCCTGAGGACCCGAGATAAAACATGATTTATGTTGCAGGGACTTATTTTTGTTCCTTCTGTGCTGCTTTACATCCCATAACTCACCACTGAGAGTTCATATTCAGTCCTGTGATTTATAAGTTTTATTGTTTTTTTACACCTTTTTCGTCTTGGATTTAATTACAGGAGTCTAAACAAAACATTTTCTATCATTTAGTAAACTGTCGACTGCGGTTTAAGTGACATATTTTATGTTTTATGATGTAAATTCTAAAGATTCACTGCAGGACTTATAATATTTCCTCTTTATATATATATATATATATATATAATTGTAAATATTGATTTATTTTAATTAGTTTTTGTTATTCTATGAATTTAATGATCTTTTTCTCTTCTTGATTCCTTGATTTGGATGAATTCTGAGGAGATTATTTCCTGTTTAGGGAACTTTTTATACAATGGGGAACCATGGGACCAGGACACAGAGTGGTGCTCCTGACTTTGCAGCATTTAATTGCACTGTACGTAAAAGATTTCGTCTAAAATTTCCACATTTTGGACAATAAAATTGTTTTACTGTTTTACAAAAGTAAATCAGTCAGTGTGAAGGATTTAGTGGCAGATTGCAACTTCCTCGCTTCACCCTCTGCTTCCAAGCGCAGAGGAGAAACTACGGTGGTCACAAAACGTGCAAAAAACACCCCTATCTAGAGCCGGTGTTTAGTTTGTCCCTTCTGGGCTACTGTAGAAACATGGCAGTATAAAAGGTTCATTATAAGGTAACAAAAACACAACGATTCCCATATTCAGGTGATTATGCACTTATTAAATGACATATATGAATATTAATGTTACACAATCGACCTTTTAAGTGTGTTTTTTGGAAAGAAACTGTATTTATAATTCACAGAAACTAAAAAACAAAACAGACGTGGAACAAAACCAAATTTCCTTCACATCCTTTGTACTTTTTTGCCAGTATGGACGTAAAAATTAGTCTTAAATTACCTTAATAATGGTCTTAAAAAGTCTTAAATTGAACAACAAACGTACAACAGAATTAGGGTTTGGGAATTGCTTTTCTTTTTTTATTCAATTAGGATATACATCTTTTTAAATTATTTCCTTTGATCAGAACAGGAACGCTGATTGACGTACAAAAATATAAAGAATTATGAAGTGCCTCGATGCCACATATACAACAGGAAAATATTTTACAGTAACAAAATCAAGTGTTAGGAAACACAAAAAAACGTATCTCACATAAAAACCATCGAGCTCGACACCCCCCCGACGACATTTCACAGACCATCAACACGTAGCGAAACTCTCCATCACCTTACCAGGAACAATTCAATCACCTCTTCTGTAATTATTCCCTTTTTTTAAAGAGCAGAACGGACTTCTTGCTCTTTGTATAAACTTTCTGTTCCCTCGTTAGAACCCCCCCAGTACCCATCTTACAGTACTGATGCACCACCTCAGCTTTGTGCCCTCCACGTCGCTCCCACCTCTTTTTATTACCTGGAGGGTATTTCACACTATAAAAAAACAAAAACTTAACAAGACCGCAAGCTCAAGACCGAAACTGAAAGTCGGGAATACACATTTTGCAATGAAATAAAACTCATACCTAAGAAGATTTGAGGTAAAGTCTGAAGTTTCAATATTTGCCATGGTTCAAATAATCTAAATATATATATTTATATATAAGACAGACACAAAAAGAAGTCGCTCAATTAAAAAAGAAATCTATTTTACATCTTCAACAGGGAAATCTGATGTTTTTGAGCTACTTTGGATCAGAAAAATGGATCAATATTAATTTGTTGATATGTGAAAACGCTCGCCGGCTGTTCGTAAGTTCAATAAAGTTTATTACACGTCCGGAAATTTAAAGGTGCTGTACATAAATTAGCTCTTATGTAGAGTTTGGTTGATCCTTTGTTCCCCACTTCTAGGGTTAGGGGTTTAGGGAACTTACCCTTCCTAAGCCCCGCCCCTTTTTGCTCTGAGCTCCAATCACAGTTGAGCAAGCCTCGGTTAACTTCCTCCTTTCCTGTATGTAGATATGCTACGTGTTAGGCTAATCTATGTTGGAAAGACGACGGTTAAAAGATAAAAGCGACATCAATAAATATATATATAGTCAGCATTTAGTTAGCTAAGGTTAGCAAAAGTGGCACAAAATATTGATTTAGTATTGAGTGGATGTTCACATCTTAAAAAAAATTTGCTAACCAGGTAATTTACGAGATAATCTATGTTCCCAGGGTCCTATGTTCCCTAGGATCAGGGTTTAGGGGTTAGGGAACCGCCTGGTTTGCTCTGTAGTCCAATCACAGTTGAGCAAATATGCTATGTGCTAAACTAATCTATGTTAGAAAGACAGCCACATTTTGAAGATGGTTAAAAGATAAAAGTGAAATATATATAAATAGTCACATATTCACAAGTCACAAGCTAACTGCCAAATGCTGTTAAAATATGAAAGTTGGTCAAAAAAATCATTCATTTGTGGCTATATGTCGCTTTTATCGTTTAACTACCGTTATCTAGGTTTTAGTTTAGCTGTTGTTAAACACTCTGTAAATTTTATTTTTATCATTTCGATTGGTTGATTGATTGGCTTTGGAAAAAGGCGGGACTTGGGAAGGGTCAAACCAACTGCTAAAAAGATGCAGATGTTTCCTAGCAACCGATTTACGCTGCCTCCTTTCTGCATTTCAAAGCTAACTAACGAGTTTTTTTATGCATAAACTTAGTGATGAATTTACGAATAGCCGGCGCCACCAAGGGTCCAGAATGAGGTTGGAAACAGTTTTATCTGTTTGTGTTTGACTTCCATAGAGAAGTAGACTACTTCATTTCAGTAACACTTCCCCCGATTGTCTAATAAACCGAAACAGGTTAAAGACAAACTGATACAAACATACACGTTCATCTTGTAACTGTACATGATGTGGTCCTACTGTCCTGGTGACTCTAAACTCTTAATAAATAACAATTAAGGTTCTTTTTTTACCCCCCAAAACTTTACTGAGTGTTTTGCTCTGCACCTCCAAACAAGAACTTATTTATCTTAACTCAAAGTTTTCAAATATCCCTTTCGTTACTTCGTCGTCCGTCTTTTGATCAGACTCATTAATTCTCTGTTTCTGGTGATTGAACGCAGTAAATGAACAGTAAAGCGAGCGTCCGGTCCTGTCAGCGTGTGGAGTTACTACAAAGAGTTCAAACTATAATCTTTGGTCCAATTTTTTTCACATGCAGCACTGAAATTCCCACAGAGAGGACTGTGATATATATATATATATTGATATGTATATATATATATATATATAGAAAACAAGTGCAATAAAGCGTATCAGGAGAAAGCTTTGCATTGGTGTGACTGGGTTTTCTCTACACACACACAGACTGTTAACCTTCGTCGAGGTTACAGTCCAACCCGAAGGAGAGCAACGGGGCCACCAATTTGTCAGCTCTTGCATTAAATAAGACATTGAACCATTGAAGTGCAGCTTTAAACTGCCAGAGGACCAACTCCCTTTTTTTAAAGACTGCATCAGTAGAAAGTCTAAATATCACTAAAGGCTTCCCAGAGTTCCCTCCATGGCGAGTAAAGATGAACAGGGTTTTTTTTCCTCGTCCTCCGTGAACACAATCACCGAGTAGCTCCTCCCCCTACAGGTCCTCGGTGTAGATGATACAGGGACTAGTGTCCTCGCTCGACTCCAGCTGCACCGTGGAGACGAACCAGCGGCGGGAGCCCGCGGCGTTGTAGTTGAGCGTGGTGCGGTAAGTGTTCTTGGCGTGCTTCGGGTAGATGATGGTGGTGCTCCGGTAGCTGATGGGCTTCTGCCGTGGCTCCAGGTACACCTGCGACTTGTAGCTCCTCCAGGTGCAGTCCCGAACCGCAACCACCGTCTCGCTGAAGGAGGTGGCCGTGGGAACGGGGGCGCAGTAGACCTGGTCCCGGTAATGCTTGTCGGAGTCGTACTTGACCTCCGAGTTGCACCTGGAAAGGAGAATCTCTTTAGAAAACACATCTAAAGTTGACCACTAGGTGATTCCCAACCTTTTTCTATAATTTATTAATCTGACTAAGTTACATTTTTTATAGTTATTTCATATTATATCAAAAACTGTATAATGAACCCAAACAGTGAACTAACTCCATCAGATTTTTAATCATTTATAACAATCATACAGACCTAATAATCTTTTTTGATATTATTCAGTGTTTTTGTGTCCTGGGTTCTTACACCCATTAACCCCCCCGAAGCTTTGGCGACCCCTAGTGGCTGGGAACCGCTGCTATTGCGGGTTCACACTGTGTCTCTTACTTGATTTCCTGCTCCGGTTTGGGGTTGACCTCGATGCTTTCTCCGAAGAACACGGGGTGCATGCGGGTCTTCGGGTCTGTTCCTGTGGCGTTCAGCAGCAGGTAGGGCAGCTGCAGAGAGGAAACACACACAGAAACAACATCAATGAACTGTCTGCAACCAGCCGGCTGCCAGCGAACATTACAGGAAAAACCAGCATGTCTTGGGGACCCCCAAATTAAAAACCACTGCACCCTCTCCAAGAAAACAAACTCCTCGACGACAGCGCTGCTACAACAATCAGACGAGGAACGCAGCGAGGCAGGGCGGCGACTTTAATTTGGATAATTGCGCTGCGTAGGGACCAGCCAAATGAAGTGTTGGTGGTACTGTAAGTCTGCAAGTTCAGGCTGGGCTGGAGACGCGTGACCCTCACACAGCCTCTACAGATGTTGGACCCACAGTAGCTGCAGAAATGTGAAACACACTCGTAAACGTGAGTCTCCAGGGCAGCTGGTCGCCAGGCTGAGAGAAGGCGATGCTGTTAGAGAGAGGGAGAGCGATGAGGAGGTGATGCTGGCCTGTCAGCTGGCGTGGTTAAGCTTAGCCGGTAAGCTAACCTTTTATAAGGATTTAGTGGCATCTAGTGGGGAAGTTTCAGATTGCAGCTAACTTTGAACACAGCTCGCGTCTGTATCTGACGACCTGGGAAGTAAACAAGCCTTGTTTCTGGAAATAGAGTCTTATTTTGCCGCCTTTATATCAACTTATTCTTTTCCTCTTGTTTATTCATCCATATGTTAGTATTTATATGTTTTATGTATGATTGTGCATATATATGTTTATATTTGTTTGTGAAGCACTTTGTAACTGTGTATTTTATAAATAAAGCTTTACTTACATTCAGTTTGGTGTTGAATTTAACTCATTAAGATTTGTTTTGAAAAATAACATGCTTTAATAACACGTTCAATTAAAAATGATCATTCTATTATGTTTCTATTCAATTCTTTACTAATGTGCCACAATAATGTAAAGTTTTTGCATTTAAATATCTTCATTTCTGAGTTTTCTAAGCAAATATTCACATAAATCAACTCAACCTGCCTTTATTTGGAACAAAAGATGGTAAATACTATCACAGTTTATTTAAACCAGTATGAATATTACTTCTATTGAATCACGTATCAATCACAAATCATTTATTTGATCTTTTGATACTTTGGTGCTCGTGGTTTCTGTGACATTAACAGAAGAACTGAATTGTGGAGACAAAAGTTTAAACATTTGATATTTGTGTAGGTGATCTAAGAAGCTTAAAACTCGCTCAAGCTTTGAGAGGTTTTATACATCCAAAGAATTTCTATAAAATCCAGACCAGGCCTTTAATTGAGACCTGCGTTTATTTGTCAAAACCTGTAGCCCCACCAGGCTTGTAAACGAGTCCTGCCTTTAATTAAGGTTTTATGGTATGTGATTATTTGTGATAAAATCAGCACACTGTATATTTCTGCCACCCCATGAATATTTCTCTATATCCACCCGAGTGTGTGTGTGGGAGTCTGTATAGCACCTTTTAATTAAAAACAGTGTTTACAAAGTGCTTCGCATACACACAAATATACCAGCAATAAAGAATCTGATTAAAAGTAATATATGAGGCAGAATACAACAAAAAACACACCAATAATCAGAGAGAGAGAGAGATAACACATTATGGAGTAAAACTAAATTGAAGGAATGTGATTTATGTTGCACAATTAACTGCAATGTTATCAAAATATGCAATATGCATAAATAAAGGTAAAATGTGACACACAGCGTATCTTAAAGCACAACTTGCTGATATTTTTGGCATTTTTTCGAGTTTTCCATCCATTACCGACTTTCAGTGGCTAGATTTTTTAGGCTACTTTTAAGAAAAATTGGCAGCTTTTGTGGCTCAATACGAGACATTTTGATCATGTTTAAGAATATGTGGTGCCGTGTTTCTAGAGGGAAGGTTTTTGCAGTGTAGAGCCAGTGTTTGATTTGTCTGTTCTGGGATACTGTAGAAACATGGTGGACATTTAATGTGGAATTTGTAGATAAAAGCTAATTTTAAGGTAACAAAAACACAAATATCCCTATATTCAGGTGATTTATGATAATAGATCCTCCTGAATGTTACACACTGGACCTTTAAACATTGTACAAGGTTAACTTTACTGTACTCAACTGTATGAACCAGGTCTGTTTTAGTATTGACCCTTGACCTCTGGAGGGGACAAACAGACACTGTGAATAAAGGTTTATTATCGACTGTTTTCTATGCATGCGAGCGTCTAAACACCCAGCAATCTGAATCAAATGGCACCCCGGCCACAACTCCTCTCACATTACACAGGGGGAGGCTGTCACATGCTGCGGTTTGGCCGCCGTTAAGCACACATGCCACTTACAGGAGACAAGCAAGAACAGGCCAAGGGCACAGCAGCAGAGCACCGCGTGAAGCTCGTCTTACCTACGATCATCACCACACACCATGTGAACGGTGGAGCTGCACAGCTGCTAAAGAACTGAACAAAAAAACCCTCCCAACAGTTCATCTGCAGGCCGATCATTTTCTGCTGCTGCTGCTTCGTGACCTGAAAACACTGCGTGAGTAAGTATGCGATTGTGTTCCCTCCGCTGCTCCGGCATGGAGAGCATCCCAGGTATTTCTCCACGGCGCGTTCTTCTGGCAACTCGTGCAAAGCAAACACTCGTGAATAGGAGTGTGCACACAGAAAGTGTCCCGCTGGAAGCACATTTCTGCCCAGGAAAAACAGGTCTGCAGCTGAGCGGCCCACACAGTGTACAATGCACAATGCAGACGCCAACGCAAACACACCTCCTCCAACGGCGGCGAGACTTTACATCCCCGAGTTAATGCGTTAATGTCGGTATCACACTGTCTGTCTAATCCACCGACACTTATCCTTCAACAGATTACATGAGTGGTTCTCATGCTTTTTTCCTTAAGGGAACCTTTTTCTATCATTTTACACTGACGACCCCAAAATATTTCATATTATAATTAAAACAGTGCAGGAAGTTTGTGTAAAATGAGTGATTTTGATGAATTTTGAGCAGATTATTTCCTGTTTATGGAACTTTTCATTTTCAACACTTATACAGACTTAATATTCTTCTTTTTTGACA